AAAGCAACTGTATTCTTTTTTTGAAAATAACAATGTGTTTAGCAGCAATCAGTTTGGTTTTCGTAGTGGTATGTCCACCACCAAAGCTGTAGATAGTTTAGTCAGACAGTTAAATAAAGCCTTGGAAGAGAACCGTGCTGCCCAGATCACACTTTGTGATCTGAGTAAAGCATTTGACTGTGTCAACCATGATGTTTTACAAGAAATTAGAATTTGATGGATTACAGAGTAAGGAGCTGTCAATATTTAGATCTTATTTAAGTAACCGCAGACAGGTTGTTGATGTAAATGGTAACTTCTCTAAAGTGTTGACTACTACCTATGGCGTCCCTCAAGGATCTGTTTTGGGGCCTATTTTATTTATTATTTTAATCAATGATCTTGATTCTAATTTACCTTGTTGTACAACCACATATGCTGACGACACCACTCTGTTAAATAATCATGAATCTGTAAATCATCTTAGTATTATCAGTAGTAATGCATTGGAAATGGCCTGTAACTGGTTCAATGTGAATGGGTTGCTTTTAAATGAAAACAAAACCAAGAACATGATTGTTACCTTCAAAGATGTACCTTTAGACCTAGTTCAGTATGAGAGAACAGTCAAGCTTTTAGGTATTTACCCGGTCTGACCACACCGACAATGTTTGTAAAAAACTATCTAGAGTCATATTTCTTTTGGTAAATATTAAGAACCAAGTAACAAACGGTTTTTTGAGAATGGCTTGCATTCTGAGATATGGTCTGATTGTTTGGGGAAATGGAGTTGGTATAGATAATGTATTAATTATACAGAAGAAAGCTCTTAGAATACGTACTACTGTAATTCCTATAGTCTGGAGCATTGTAAAGCACTTTTCATCCAAGCTGGAATCCTTACCATTGTCAACCAACCGATTCTTGAGCCCAGTAGCCGCAGGAATCGATCTTGGATGTGCTGTAGCTGGTCTATATGATTTTGCTGGTATGGGGTCCATATGATGCAAGCATACTCAAGTATGGGACGAACGAATGACTTATACAGCACCACTGGTGTATTGGGGGAGTGGAAGTCCTTGGTTGATCGGAATAGGAATCCCAGTAGAGAGTTGGCACAAGATGTGATATAGTTTATGTGTTCCTGTGGGCTGAATGAGGGTGACAAGACAACCCCAAGGTTCTTCACACTCTGTACTCGCTTCAAGATCGTGTTGTTCATTAGGTAGTCTTAAGTAACTGGACCAAGTCCTCGTTTAAAAGACCTTATGACACACTTAGAGACATTAAGTTCCATGGAGTTTGAAGCACACCATTTTTCTATTTCACGTAGTGACATTTGGAGATCCTGATGCCCTGAAGATGATGAAACCCTGTTGAACACCTTCATATCATCCGCAAACATAAGGAAGTTGGACGAAATGGAACTGCTAACGTCATTCATGAAGATGTTGAGAAGAGGGCCTGAATGAGAACCCTGAGGAACGCCTGAGACGACCGCAAACGGTTTGGAGGTCATCCCATCACATTTGACTATGAGCATCCTTTTAGCTAGATAACTCGCCAACCACTCAAGCAGAGCCCCTATAACTCCGTAGCCTCTCAGTTTTGCAATCAGCAGACGGTGATTTACCTTGTCGAAAGCCTTTGAAAGGTCTAAGTAGATGCAGTCATTCAACTTGGGAGGAGTCCGAGAAGGCTGACATGATGAAGTCTTGGAATTTTAAAAGATTAGTGATGGTTGAGCGAGACCGCAAGAACCCGTGTTGTTCAGGGCAAATGCAGTTGCGGAGATGAAAATAGAGATGATCCAATATAATGCTTTCGTAGACCTTTGCAATTGCCAATTGGACTACAATGGGTCGATAGTTTCTCACATTGTTTCGGTCGTCCGATTTGAAGATGGGTATCACAAAACCAGTCTTGAGGGATGAAGGGAAAACTCCAGCTGCCAGTAAGCCTGCAAACAAGATGGCAAGGTGTGGAGCAATCACCGAGGCACAGAATCGGAGAATTGATGGAGGGATGTCATCAGGCCCTGCACTTTTGTTGGGATCAAGAGATTGAAGTTTCCTTTCGACATCACTGGTTAAGATATGCCATTGAGGAACTGTAAAGTTCCTGTTGAAGTTGTAGTCTGGGACGGCAATGTCTGGGTCTTGAAAGACAGAGGAGAAATACTCGGCAAACAGTTCACATCTATCCTCGGAGGTTTCGGCAAGTTTAGAGTCGGGATAGCTGGACTGCTCTTAAGACTGTTTATATGGGACCAGAAGGCTTTGATATTTTGGGGTATACTTTCTTCCACCTTTTTAGTGTAATCACTGTAGCACTCCTTAGCAAGGACTTTGCACTGTCTACGCAGAGACCGAAAATTGTTAAAACTAGTGACATTGCCGGTACTCTTGAAAATCCTAAGGGCAGATTTCTTCCTGACGACCAGAAGTTTAAGTTCATGGGAGAACCACTGGGGAAACCTAGAGGAAGCAATTTTCTTCAATGGTGTGTATTGCATAATAATTGATTGTAGTTTGAGGGAAAAATCATCAAACAACAGCTCAGAACGCATGGACGAGCTTAGTATGGGGTAGTTTAGCATTTGAATTTCATTGAAAATCGTAGGCAAATTACTTTTAGGAAAGTTAGGTAAAGACCTGTTGTTTTTTGGATATAAAGATTTTTTTCAGTGAGATACAGATGGACAAGGCTGGATGGTGTCTGTCTTCCTTTAGTAGTAATTCTTCAGCTGCATTGACCTTTAGTTGGGAGATGGATGAGAACACCAGATCGAGGTAAACGTTCCTAAAGTTGGAGATAGAATTGCATTGGACAAGAGCATGTGTTGCAGCCAGGTTGACCAGACATTCCGAGTGTGCTGAGGCAGGTGTTGGGTAAGGAGAGTTCCAGTCAGTATTCGCAAGATTGAAGTCACCTAGCAATAAGATATCATCCAGGAACCCAGCAAGGGTAACTGATTGATGTGTCCCTTACATAAAATCATTGTGTCGTCTACAAACTGAAAGATATCCATCTTTGACACGTTTGCTATGTCATTTACATAAAATAAGAAACATACGAGGTGTGGCTAGATAAAACCCGGACTAGTCCCGGTGAAACAATAAAACGAATGCAATAAGGCTGAAAGTCCCGTGGCCTGTCACGTGAATCTCGCCCCACCTACTGCTCGAGTTTCATCTGCCTTCTTTACTCAGTCTGCCCGTGGCGTCTGTTCTAAGTAGTTGTCGTTTTGTCTGTGCGTCAGAAAAATGTTGAGTGTACAAAAAGAACAGCGTGTTAACATCAAATTTCTTTTCAAACTTGGAAAATCTGCAAGTGAAACGTTTGTAATGTTACAACAAGTGTACGGCGATGATTGTTTATCGCGAACACAAGTGTTTGAGTGGTTTAGGCTATTTAAAGATGGCCGCGAAGACACAAGTGATGACACTCATACTGGCAGACCATTGTAGGCAAAAACTGATGCAAACATTGAAAAAATCGGTAAACTTGTTCGACAAGATCGCCGTTTAACAATCAGAGCAATGTCTGAGTTGACAGGAATTGACAAGGAAAGTGTTAGGCAGATTCTTAATGAAAGTGTCAACATGAACAAAGTGTGTTCAAAAATGGTTCCAAAGTGTCTCATAATTGAACATAAGGAACGCCGAAGAATAATTTGTTCTGACATCCTAGAAAACATTGAAAGTGATCCCACCTTCTTACAAAATGTTATTACTTGTAATGAATCGTGGTTTTTTACTTACAATCCCAAAACCAAACACTAATTGATGCATTGGAAATCTCCTGCTTCTCCACGACAAAAAAAGCTTGATGTCAAAATCAAAATTCAAGGCAATGATGATTGTTTTTTTTTTCATATCAAAGGGATTGTGCACATTGATTGGGTACCAGAGACACAAACAGTGAATCAGCATTACTACATTAGCGTCCTAACTATCCTAAGTGAGCGAGTACGGAGAAAACGGAACGATTTGTGGAAAACAAAGTCATGGATCCTGCACCAAGACAATGCCCCAGCTCACAATGCGTCGTCAGTGAAGACGTTTTTAGCCAATCACAACATTCCCATCTTAGACCATCCATCCTCCCTACTCACCTGATTTGGCCCCCTGTGACTTCTTTCTTTTCCCCAAAGTCAAGTCAGCTTTGAAAGGAACTAGATTTTAGAGTGTTGAAGCAGTAAAAGAAAAAGCTACGGAAGTAATGTATGGACTTACCTAAAATGATCTGCAGCATTGCTATGAACAGCGGAAAATTCGTATGGATTATGGTTCAAAAGTTTTTGTAAATTATGTTATTTTCCCATAAAAAATCACCAAAATAAGAAAAAAACGTGTTTATAAAAAAACGATTCTGATTGAAATTCTTTGGTTATGGTCCTTATAAATTCTAAACAAAATAGTGCATCCCATCATTCCTGTTAAAATTCTGTTCAAAAGTTAATGAAACTTTTGTGATTTTATCTATTAAATATCATAGTTACTCTCATCGCTTTCCCTTGATAAAGGTTGTTGACAAGCTAATGGGAGAAAGTATGTGTCAGATTGCAAATACCGTTTATTTATTTTTATATTGAAGTTATAGAAAACAAACAAACTCACACAGATGATGATTTTAACAGTAGGGTGACGTGATTAAGCTCCGGCTCTTGGTCAAAGCAATGTCCTCCTAAGAATAGTTTTACACCAATACACATTCAAAACAGAAATAACTATTATATCTTCTATTTGTTTCACAGTTAGTTGTGATGTTACCTTTATTAATGCACAACTTCACTTCTGTTTCGCACATAAACCCAGTTTTACAACACCTTCAGATGGCTGCAAAAGTCTTCCTCTATTTTGGCAATGTATCACAAACTATTGCTGTGTTGTGTTTCTTTGTTAGGCAGACTCTTCTCAGATTTTTGAATGTGTCTTGTGTAGCACTAGGACAGACTCTGCTTTATAATGTTATAGATATATATTTTTTTTCTCTAAAGGAAAAAGAATCAACTAAGCTGTTACCAAAACTTTATTAAAAAAAAGTAAATACATTTTATAAGAACTATTAGTATCTTTCTTCCTTTTAAGCCAAACCCCATTTTCAGAGGCATTTATCAACACAAACATCATAAACATCAGAAAACAAACATAAAAGATTCATCACAAGGCACATTATCAATTATTAAGAAAGTCATACACTGACATATATTGTATACAATTTGCTTACAGGTAGGTACTGTATTTGTATTAACTATCCAAGCCAGCTATTGTCAAACCAAGCTCATATTTGGCCTTGTATTCTTTATTTCCAGTTTTAATGATATTAATAATTCATTATAACTAATACTCAACGCCAAGTTGAGACTTAGGCCCGATTTCACCAAATTCACACTAACGTTTATAACGTTGTAGGTTTAGTTAATCTTCGGTTAAAACTAAGTGATGATTTAAACCACAGTTTGGGAAATCTGGTTTCACCAACGAAAACATGTCAAATTTAACGCTTGTTTTATAAACGAAAGTTTAGAGTAAAATCCAGGTGGAGGTGGCAGTAACTGTTATAATACCGGGTTGTTTTGGGAGCAAGAAGTAAACATAACCTAGAAAATAAATTTGTGTTTATGAGGTAGTGAAAAAAAAAACTGGAGACAGCAAGATTACAAGTATACAATAGATTCCGAGCAACAAGAAAAAAACAACAGGAAAAAAGAATAAATAGCTAAACAATTAACATAAGTAAATAAAGACAAAGCAATGTTGATAAAAAAGATTCAATTGAGGAACAGAGGATTGAGTTTTGCTGTTGAGTACATTTGAAATAGTGAGAAAACTTGAGGCAAAAAGAGTTACAAGAATAAGACACAAAAAGATACATAAAAATAATGATTTTCTATAAATACTAGCAGAATAAAGACAATTTAGGTTAAGTTATTGTGAACTAAATTAATTGTTTGACCGTAGGGTTAGGGTTACTCAAAACCGGGAAAAGGAAAAGGTAGTCTATTTTTTCGAACAAAGAAAAAAGGAATTTAATCATGTAGGTAGAAAAACACTTTTTTCATCCAGGATTTATGCACCCAGAATTGGTTCAACAACAGGAACCACAAACCAAACGTAAACAAAACCCATACACTTTGCAGCCAAAGTGCAACATCACAAACCTAATTTTTTGGGTTTTTTCAAGTTGTTGTAGGATGTTGTTAAGTATTGTACAACGTGGTTCTCTCACGATGAGTAGAGTGGCTGATCACATAGCTAGAGATACGCCTTTACTAAAAACCTTGTGGGATAACCTTGAGAAAAAGGCAAAACGTTTTGATGATTCATATCTAGTGATAAAATTGATTTTGTCATAGTTAAATCAATAACCTTTTCTCTTATCCTCCTAGTTCAGCAAACAACATAGGCAACTCTTCATCACTATCACTTTCAAAGGCTAATTTGTATTGTATGCTCTTCTAGCATTTGGCCTTTCCATATAAACTTCAAACTTAAAGCCAGCTGATATTTCTTAACTAAAGATTAAAGAAGTAAACCGGTCAAAATTGGGCAGTTAATTATCTAACAACAGTTTAGTCTAAACTAGCTCTAAAGGCGAGTGTGGTGAAATCCCATTTCGTCAGTTAAGAGCTAACTGCAGTTAGAGCAAGGCCTAACGGCGGTTTGAGTGTTTGGTGAAATCGGGCCTAAATCACAATAAATTCTTAATAACAATAATTCTCATAAATAACTATGCGACAATGCAAATGGGAAACCAAAATGTGAGCTTGTCTTGTTGTTAAAAAGTGTCTTATAGTACTTGTAATTTGGGTTACAACACCATGTAGAGTTATTTTGTTTTAACTTCAAGGTCATTAAATACCTGATAGGCCTGATACCCATTAAATACCTGATCGTCCTCATTTTTCTTGTACTCAGCAGAGGCTCAAGAAGATGCATAGTAAAATACTTGATCGAATTTTCCCCTAACGCTTTTTAGAACAAATTTACTTCTATCCTTTGCTTGCTCAAGTGAAAGTTAGTATGGTAAAAGTTTGAGCTCATTCTTGTTTTAGTGCAGTATGGTTCAAATGTTACACTATTATACTTTGGCTATTTTCGTACAATATGTTTAACATAATTTTTTAAGGCTTCCGTAGAAATAACAGTAACTATTCCTCACCCTGTTCAAATGATTCGATTATACTTGCCATCACCTTATCTACAAATTAATTAGACATCTTAGAATTATCAGACATCTTAGTTATAATGGATTAACTAAGAAGTAACTATAACAGACAACCCAGAACTTTGAATCCATTAAATATTACTTAATTAATTTGCTTGAACAACAAGATATTTATATTCAGTTATAGACAATTTGTGAAGCAAATAGAGTAACAACCAAATGTCAGTTTTATACACACACTGTTTAATTCTCAGTGCCAAAACTTGGTGTGTCATGCTTAATCAAGTCATGCCAATTGACAAAATCAAATAACAAAATATATATCTAATTAATTAAGGTTGGAGTTTTAACACATGTTTTGATAACAAACTATTTGAATATATATTAAATGTAAATAAAAAATATGTAACTTACAGTTTGTTTATGATAGGTTAAATTGTTTTTATATTTAGGAGTACTATTACTTCAGTTTTTACCTATCAAATTCTTTCTAAATATTTTGAAAATTCCTTTGATAAGTACTATCATAGACTAACCAACACAAGTAAAATTCTCATCCCATTGTAAATAATTTTAAAGCTCATTTTTCGTGTCTAGTTCATGTACGGTGACACTGGATGCTAATGTCAAGGAAATTTTGTTTCTATTATTTTAGGGTAAATTTCTCGATTTGTGCTTTACTGTTTGGTTATATAACTAAACTAGGGGACGAGTTATTGTTTATAATTAGATCGTATTATTTGGTTAAACGAGGTTGTAAATGATAGAAATAACAAGAAACAAATTGTAAACAAAACACGACCTCTGCAGTACACTGTACAGAAATAACAATACAAATTTCTTCAGCTGTTCGATAAGGATGAGAAATTTACCAAGGGGTGGTTTTATCTATAGTACTATTTACCAAATTTATATAGCAGCTGGTAATGTTTAGAACACCACAACCACTGGGAGTAGGCATTGTCTATTGGATACTGAAGTCTTTTGTATCATTAATCAAAGGTGTAGATCTGGTCCAGTAAGAAGTTATTTTGCAATTTTAAAGCTATAAATGAAATTAATCTGTCTCTTGCATATTAATCTATGGTAAAACATTAAAACAAGGGTTCTTTACTTCATCCACTCACCACTCACCATTCTAGCTGGATCTAGCCCCATGGGGCAGATCAAATTACTCAGTTGAGAACTAAATATTAACTAATTACTTGTACCTTTGTGGATAGCTAAGCTTTTGTCTTGCATGATGGTGGTAACTGCTACGCCTGAGATCCCTTCCTCTATTGTAAAATCTAGACGGTTGAGAGCGTTCAACATTTCTTGGTCTGAACATCTGTCTCGGATAAGGTGGTTTAAAGTTGTTTTTACAAGAGTACTGTGACTCATTGGTTACTGTTGTCATGCTTGCAACCACTGGAGAGTAAAGTGGTAAACGAGTATTTGGCACTGTTGCCATACTTGCCACAGCATTTCCTGAGGAATAATTTAGAACAGTGGACACACTAGCATTATCTTCTTTGTCTGCAACCACTCGAGAGCAAGGTGGTAAACGAGTATTTGGCACTGTTGCCATACTTGCCACAGTATTCCCTGAGGAATAATTTAGAACAGTGGACACACTAGCACAATCTTCTTTGTCTGCAACCACTCGAGAGCAAGGTGGTAAACGAGTATTTGGCACTGTTGCCATACTTGCCACAGTATTTCCTGAGGAATAATTTAGAACAGTGGACACACTAGCACAATCTTCTTTGTCTGCAACCTCTAAAGGGTAAGGTGGTAAACGAGTATTTGGCAATGTTGCCATACTTGCAACTGATTTTGTAGAGGAAAACTTTATATTTAGAACAGTCGACACACTAGCACAATCTTCTTTGTCTGCAACCTCGAGAGAGTAAGGAGGTAAACGAGTATTTGGCACTGTTGCCATGCTTGCAACTGATTTTTGAGAACAATAATAATCATTCACCTCAGTTGAAATGTTTTTGTTGAATCCTAATTGAGAGTATTGTAAACGAGTATTTGGCACAGTTACCATACTTGCGATTGATTGTGGGCGAATTGGCACAGGGTTCATGTTGGCTGACTCTTCTATATTGTCATAGTCAAGAGAGTAGTAGGATTTTAAATAGTTTAACAAAAATTGTATTTTTGAATCAAACAACCCTTTTTTAATCAAAATTTGAATCTTTTTGTTCAAAAACTTGTTGGGGTCAAAGTGGGCTTTTTGTACCTTACCATTATTTTTCCAATTTTTTTTAAAACAGGAAGTTGCTTTGGCTACAGGAGGAACATCAATTTGATTTGGCGTAAATGTAATTTCCTGTTGATAAGCTACAACAGACTCTTTTTCATCAACTAACTTATGAGACACCTCTTCGTCCTCCATGTTTAATTCAACGTGTTTACTTTCACTCATATTAGGAACAAGTTTTACTGATGGCGATTTGATGTCAAGCTCTTGTTTAGGTTTGACTACAATTTTATCTTCACTTAATTCTCCAGTATTCTCGGTTAAGCCTAAATCTTGCTTATTATTCTCTCTACTTATTTTCCTACCAGACTCCTGTAGAATAGTGTTTGATGATGACAGATTATTAACTACTGTATTGCACTCGATAGTCTTCTCTTGCATATTTTCCACCTCTTTGGATCTGTAAGACATCATACGGTTACAAAGGAGTAATAGTAATTAAAAAGTAAATAACTTGAATATTGGCAGATATGCAAATGAAAGCTCACAGACAAATGTCCACTTCTCCCACTGAATTATCCAACTGGTAGAAATAATAGCTTGATTTTCTATGCTTTGATAATTTATTTTTGTAAAAAAATACAACCGACTTCAAACGCTCTAAAAAGAATGAAATAATTTCAATAAAGTAAACTTTTGTATTAGGCAAGCTCACGTATTTTAAGTCGGCGCGACTCTATGATGATGTTTGATACATAACTGAAAGAGGGTGTCCATATTGCAGGTGACTCTATAACTAAAGGTGTTAATCTGCATGTCTTTTTCATAGTTATGCGTTAAGTGTTATTTTATTACCGTAATCAGAGATCGGCATTATAGTGGTATTAACGAGTATCTTTAAAAAGATTATAACGCATTTAAATGTTTCTAACTTGGAAAAGTAACGTTTTAATACTAAACTAGCTTCTTTTCCCTATAATAATATCAAACTAAATTATTTTCCTATTCATATAGAACATTTGTGTGTGTTATTTTCATAATGCATTTATTCTGAAGTAAACATAAAATACAAGAAAATATTTCCTTTAATATATAAACAAAACAGTTCAGTATGTTTTTTTTATATATTTATGTTATCCAGCTACAATTTATTGATTTTCAAAATACACACACAACATTTAATTTCAATCATATTTGCAGTTTGAGCCGCGCCGACTTGAAATACGTGAGCTTGCCTAATACAAAAGTTTACTTTATTGAAATTATTTCATTCTTTTTAGAGCGTTTGAAGTCGGTTGTATTTTTTTACAAAAATAAATTATTTCATGATTTTTAGTGACTGTATAATTTTTTATATATTAATTACTTCAGGATTTTTGATAAGCAAAACTGTTTGACACAATCAAAAGTTCCACAGAACAATCATTATTTTAAGAGTCACCTGTTCAGGTTACATAATCAATGTTCTTATTCTTAAAATCAATGTAATATTCTTATTCTTATTCTTAATGGGTATGAAAATAAACATTTTTAGATATTCCTTAAGAAAGAAAGAGTTGTCCATTACATTAGGCCTAATGAAAAACTAATTGTCTTTTCTAGATACATTGAAATGTCAGACATCATCGTTTCCTGCAATCGGTGTACTTCTACATTATAAAAAGAAATACAGTAACGTCTCAAGCCTTTTGGAACAATATGAAAGTTATTCCTCAGCTACCAGCACTAAAAAATCTCTCAAAAGTGGAAAATTGGTCGTTAACACGTATAGTACCTTTGGAAAATATTATATGAAAGATTGGTTCAGCTAAAAGTGGTGTAAGTCATGTAGGGGGTTTTGTTTGCTCAAGATAGCCTAGTCGAAATTGCAAATCATCTTCCTCTAGGACTTTCCGAAGCAGGCATAATAGTATTAATATGTTATAGTAACTGGGTAGAGAATATTAATAAACATCCCACAACTGCAAATTAAATATGTATATGAAAGATTGGTTCAGCTAAAAGTGGTGCAAGCCATGTAGGTGGTTTTGTTTGATCAAGATATAGCCTAGTCAAAACTGCAAATCATCTTCCTCTAGGACTTTCCGAAGCAGGCATAATAGTATTGATATGATATAGTAACTGGGTAGAGAATATCAATAAACATTCCACATCTGCAAATGCATGTTTGATAATTAAAATACCCCCGCCGCAGCAAACCTGCAGACTAAGCAAATTTCCATTGACCTGATTGGATTTACACTAAAATGCCTCCATAAAAATAGCACATTTATTTCCTATTTAAATAGAATTAGTTTAACAAGTACCTTAGGTTTGCTGCAACAGGGAGGGTAAAAAAGATTTTTTTATGAAATGATAATAGTTTAGTAAGAAATAAAAGTATTTTCCAAAATCGATCAAAATATGTTCATAAACAAGCAAACTGCAACAGTCGACTTATTCTCCATAAGAATAACATGGGAATTTTAAAATTACAATTTTTTTGAATTTTCTCCGTAACAATTAGGCGCATAATAACGCTTCAATATACTAAATTATTTGTTTTTTTAAGCTCTACAAAATGGTTTAAAAAGAAATTGTGAAATTTTGAGTTTTTAGGGGCAAAAATGGGAAAAACCTATTTTTACCCCATAAAACCCCCCATAAACCCCCGTTCCCATAGTCCGATCATGCTGGTTCGCGAACTCATTCAAGTTTATCCCGCCTTACACCTTCAAACCAAATTTTATCAAAATCGGACAAAAATTACTCAAGTTATCGTGCGGATGGACACACACACACATATATATATATATATATAAGTAGATATATTCATGTCACTTCTGGGCCAAAAACGGAGCCACTCAAAAATTAAATGAATTTTCCTATTTTTTTATACAATATGCTATATTTTTACCCTTTTAGGTCAATTTCTAACATTTTCATATTTTTCAGTATACAATTTTGATGAAATTTTCATGAATATGTCTATATTTTACATAAAATTGACTACAAAACAAAATGTTTTTAAAAACAAGTAAAATTTTAAAATTTTTTATTTAAATATTCTAAATATTTTATTTAAATTATTGTTTTTGTAAATAATATTTTTCCTATTTGAGTTATTCAAAATTTATTAAAAGTATTGAATTTCTCAGAAAATTCTAATGATATTTGATGTATTACAAGTCCATATTTCATTTTAAATAATTTTAAACTTAAACATGAAATGTTATCAAAAATGATAATCTTAAGATAAGAAGATAAGTATTGATTTAAATTAAAAATAAATGTCACCAATGAAAAGCTTGTTAAAAATTAGTGCTATTTCATATATTATACATTTCTGTATGATTAAAGATAATGTAAAAATCAACAAAAACAAATTGTGTTGTAAATATAATCTTATTGAAGGAATATTAGTCTATGGCCTAATTTGTTTGGTCGATCTTTTTATGAAAATAAGTGATTGAATAAAATAATAACCAGTTGAATGTTAGTAAATTGCAGTGTGGATTAAAATAATTATTTTGATTTATCTAAACTAATCGAAAAGTATTTTATAATTAATGCTTAAAATGTATAATCAATGGTTAAATAGTTAGCTAATGAAACTAGCCGATTGAACAAAAAAAAGTGTCAAGTTAGCAAAAATCTCGTCATTAGCTATCATAATGGGTGTGGCTCTGTCGACTGGCTGATTTTCTATGTATATTCTCATTTTGTTTTATGAAGAAATATTTAAAATAAGAGTTTATTGATGGTAAAAGTTTATTATTTATTGATTGAAGATGAAGTATAAAGAAGATTAACTATGAAAATTGTGAAACTATCGTGTTGTGAAGTGAAATGTGTTTGAAGTGTTCATCACCATATTTGGATTGTTCAAGTGTTTTTAACTAATATTTTAATAAGTAAAAGTGATTTATTGAACTATTTATAGACTATTTTTATTGTTTGTAATCATAACTTGTTTATAAAACAATCAGAATTTTCAAGGTCAAGTGATTGCTGCTTTGTTTGATAGTTTTTGGCCAAACCATATGACATTCAAGGACAGTGTGCTTCTAAAGCACGCTTTGATAAATCTGAATTGTAGATACAGTAAATATTTTGTGTAGAAAAATTTAAGTGACTGTGCTGTTTTATTTGACAGTTTTTTTTTTTTTTTTTTGCCAAACCAAATGATGTTCAACGAAAGCGTGCATTGAATGCACGCTTTGATAAATCTGAAATGTTCAGTAAATATTATTTGTTTATGTTTGTGTGAGTTATTTTGAATTCCTATTCAGTAATTTAACTGTTAATATTGAATGTTTCAACTTATTATTCGATTGTTAGTATCGAATGAAATTATTTGAAATATATTGTATGTTATAACTTGAGTGTTTTTAAACCAATCTTAACCAAATTTGAAACATACACTCATTGAATATTAAAGAATGTTTTTGACTTATGTTAAGGGTAGTTTCATCCCTTATTTTGTATTTTATTTATAAAAATGTAAAAAATTATTGAATAATTCTAAAACTTAAAAATTATGAAAAATTATGTTTAAAGTCAATGTTTTTACTAAAATTTCCCAATTTAGGGTGAACTACCCTTAAACTAAAAACCCTTATAACTTCTTTGTTTTTAAAGATATTTTCATGAAATTTGGTATGATATATCTATAAGGTAAGTACAAATTTATTAAATAATAAAATTTAAAATATTTATTTCTTGTGACCTTAAAAATCAAAAATTTTTATTTATTAATATTTTTTTATGAAACAAATTTTAAATTAACAATAGTAGTCTCATTATTCATAAAATATAATAATATTTTGAAAAATATGTCAAAAAGTAGTAAATAAATGGTGGTTTTATAATAATTTTATTTGATTTCAGTTATATAATTTTTAATCACATTATACTCTAATAATCTTTCAGACACAACAACCACATAGCAATTAGTTTTACTAGCAACAGTTATATCATAATCAAAATCCATATTTATAATAATATCATTCTTTGAACCAGAAATATTAACAGGAGTTTTTGTTGTATCAATCACATACAATGGTCTATTTTCAATGAATTCTGTTGGATCATAATACATTTCACTATTGTTATAATAAACCTTTTTATAATCTTGATACATTTGATATGCAATTCTAAATTTTCCATTATTTATATCTAGATTCATTAATTCATCAGGATAATAGTGACCATTTAATTTTACTCTAATATTTTTAATATACATACTATCAAATTTTGAAGTGTCATATAATTGATCATTAGTTCTACCTTTTTGAAAACTAATTATTATAAATTTTGGATTATAGATGTTTCGATAAATATTTGTTATATCAAAACTAACTGTTTTTCCAGTTATTGTCTTTTGTTCAATACATTGCCAATGATTAAAGTGAAATAGTATTTTTTCTTTTTTAGTTATTTCATTAATATATTGAATTTTACTTGTAGTTTTATACTCAA